CACCCTCGGCGGTATTATTTGTATATTATAGATTAAAGAAAGTATTATAATATGTCAGACAAAAGTCCAAGTGAGGTTTATTTATATATATCCAATTACTTCAATGCTTCATAATTAGTAACATCTAGGTTACAGAATGTTTTGGGATTGATAATGAACTCTCTTCTTTATTGACAGTGCAGTTGAAGTTGCAAAAGCCATCCTATATTGAAAGAGTAAAGAAGATTTATCATTTTCGTGCGCTCATTACTGGAACGTGTTTCGAGTCGATTCTCGGACGAAAATCAGAGTTTCGTGCATTTTACGATGAGGTCTCTCTCTTCGTCTCCCTGCTTTCACTTCGAAGTCACGCTTTGAGCGATGGCTCAACGACTGCTAGTCGCAATAAAATGTATGTGAGATCATGTCCGTTCTGTGACGAGCTGCCAGAGGCGATAAAGAACTAGCTTGTCACGGGCGAAATCTCAGCCAAACAAAGAAGTGCGTTTCTGGGGTGAAATACATGATTACAAGTCAGTTAAAATAATCACGAGGAGTTACTTTAAAAATACTTCAGATACTTAAAAAAGGACACTGCTAATCGTGGGTGTGAGGTTTCCTCTGGAAAAAAAGAGAGCTAAATTTGTATTTCTGTTTCTAACTGATCTTAATTCTAAGCATGGGATTTGAGGTTATCTGTAAACAGCGAAGCCACACTTATCACGTGACTCACAAGTTGAAAGTGTATACTACAGCCAAAACAGAACGACTACTTTGATACAAAATAATCTTTGGTAATGATACCAATTACTTTTCCTCCTGGATTCATGTGTGATTATAATGCTTGAATCGTGCAGAAAGACTAATTAATTACAGAGTCATGAGGATTTTAAGAATTCGAATACATTTACATGGGTAGGAGGATTTTTTTAATCAAAATGGATTAGGAGAGTTAGAAAGAAAAATAAAAGAATCATGTGTCAAGACCGTGCAAGAATGCGCATCTAAGTTAACATTTAAATTGGCGCCATGTTTCTCCATCCCCACCGTACTCCAGTAGCTGGTCACCATGAGTACATCCAAAAAAAGTACCACAAACAAGTGGGAAATTAATGAACTAATTGTCCTAAAGTGCAACGCTATCAAGTCGGGTCCGTGGCCAACTGCGCTTCGTTTCACCAACCCACAAGATTTGGGGAGATATCTATTAAAATAGGAAGTCCATTAGTGAAAGGATAATGATTAAAACCCTAATCATGGTGAAAAAGCTCCAAGTTGCAAGGCCATGTATCTGATCAAACCGTTTAAGTTTAAGTGCTCTTTGGTTACTTCAGTAATCAAGACGACATTGGTTTAGAGGTGAAATGAATGCCGCTACAATCTGTGCCTTGCTCTTCAGACTCGAAATAGGCTTTATGTCTAAATGTTACTTTACATGGAGGCCTGACTCCATCGCCCAGTCTACCGTGTTCTTTAATGATTACAATTGAAATGAAATGCATGTGAATTGTTTCATCTAATTGAGGTCGTGTCACGAATCAACACGATATGACCAATCGGGTATAGGAGGGGAGAAGAGTTGGGCCAAAATCAGAAAGTTTTCCTTATGTTCATAATACATTGTTGCGGTATCGAAAAAGATGTTTGTTAATATATACAAGTCTTTGAGTTTTCCATAAAATACATAATCTTAATAATGATATACCAACCTTTTATGGCGCATTTCACAAATATGTCCCTGTGCAGAGAGAAAGAAAAAAACGAGCAGATTTTTCGGAAAAGTGAGATAGCCCAGCCTACTTCCTTAAGTCATCGGTTAACATTGGAAATTATTTATGAAAAGAAACTTTTAAGAGTTACTTGCCCAGTATAGATACACAAAATGACTCCGAATCAATTCATGAATATATAGATGTATTTGCTATCAAGAGAACATGAATAGGCTGCTTCGGGATTTATTCATGACTTTAACAATTCTGCAATCAAATCTTTATCACATGCACCATGTGTACCGGTACTGTTAAATTCATCTTAAAGAATTATCAAACGAGACTTAGTGTTCTTGATAATAATGCACCTCTAGTGTGTATCAGTATATGGGAAAGAGTGTGTTGTCATGATAAACGTGGTGCTTTATCCAATTCCTGGATACATGAACCTGGAAAGGGACCATGAAATATAAACAGGTTTAGGTTAAATCTTACGTGAGCTTTCAGTAAATAAACCAATTTAAGTGTGGAACCAGGAGATAGACAGCTGATTTAAAGCAACTGTAAAATTTCCTCTCACACAGTCTATGATTCGCCCTTGTTGTATTTTATTGAGCAATATAAACAGACAATTATTATTGCATGTCACTCTAACCAATCACTTGTTTCAACAACTGTCAAATGGCTTAATTTCTGGCATCAAAATTCGGTAAGCCTTACTTGTTGGGAAACGCTCGCCGACCACTGGTCGTCGTCTAACCATGGACGGTCTAACCCCCAAAGGGACTCATTTGTGCGCATGCACGGTATGCTTTGCGGGCATAAGGTTTCCCGCCCTTTTTCTAGATAAAGGCCGGATTAAAAGCAGTTCGTATGTATTGCAGTTATCCAGAAGTGCTTATCAATGGATTCTGGTGGCCTACGGCTTGTCAGGGCCACTTTCTACAAATTATTCTTTCTTTGGCCGTCGAATACTTTCATTTTCATGGATTGATTGTTATTTCACCTCGTTTGGAAGAATCAAGTTGGAGTTTTTTTCTTTAAATGAATTGTCCACAGCTTAAAGTTTCCGTTTTTACAGATATATATCATGAAAAATTAGTTCCTATCCGATATCTTTTTAGGGTGCGTTGTAGTGTTTGTAATTGTAAATTGACCGGAAAGGTCTTAGTGTGTCCTATGCCTTTGAATAACGTATTATATCTTACCCAATCTGCCGGAAGTAATGCACAGAGCAGTATTCTTCATCATTTTTGTTCACATTGATTGTAAACTATTGACACTTTAATTTGTGTTTCAACAGAACATACCCAATCCAAAAAAATAAACACGGTATATGACGTGATATTCCCGTCTCAGATTAAAATTCCTTTGACGCATGTTTACAAAAACATAGTTTAGAGTACTTAAACTCTCAGACAAGATAAATATTGAATAACAGATCAGTGACAGAAGCCTTTGTTCACTGATTCATTGTTAAAATTTGAAGATATTCTCTTGTTGTGTTTTGGGGGTGATTTTGTAAGGTCCATTTGTACTCTGCAGCAAATTTTATCATTATTATTATTTGTTAATATTATTATTGGCTTCTAACCTATCTTCTATCTCTGATGCAAGTGGATTTTTTTTCTCGAGCTCATTCATCTCTAAGTTTCAGATATTAATAATAATAATATTGGGTTCTTGTATAGCGCTAATTTTATCTGTCAGACTTGGCACTCCTATAGCACTCCCGATTGTCACCCTGGCTTTAGCATGGCTGCCATTACATCGATCTAGCATTTGAAGGAATTATAACCTGCCACGTACCCATTTACATCACCTGGTTTGTATATCCTTTAAAATTGAGATCGTTAATTAATAAAATACCTTTTGGCGGCCAATATTTTAGTTGAAATATTCATGGTGAACTGTAAAATCTGCGCCCTGTTGTCATAAAGCTCCCCTCACCTGCCCTAGAGTACTTTGCAGGCATTAACAATAGACACTTCCAACACCATACGTATCAATCTGTGTTAACGACGTACCCTGCCACCCTGCAAAGGGGGCCGCCATAAATGCGAAATTAGTTTTAGAGGATGACGACAGGGGGATGAATGGTGTCATAGAGGAAATAACAAATCAATAAAGTCAAGAAAAGAGATCATGATTTGGTTTTTCGAAAAATATAGAAATGTATTAGCACCTGCAGAAATGCAGAAATGATAAATGCCAAGATGTACATGAAAGTATTTCCTCGTACTTGTGAATTATTCTACCAGGAGGGGGAGGAGGGGGAGGGGAAGGAGTGGCTATAAATATGACAAAGCTTTCGGGTGAATTTCATTTAAAAGTATGAAAGGTAATTTATAATTGTTTTTGAAAGCTTAGCTACTAGAAAAAGGTCGTGTAAGATCACTTCTTGATATTTTCCGTGTGATCAAGAAGGAGAGAGAGAGAGAGAGAGAGAAAGAAAGAAAAAGAGTGGGAAGTAAGACAGAACGAAAATACATGGAAAAGGGTTATCGCACTTTGAAGAGACATATTTACTCAGTTCTGTTAACCTGTCCCTTGGCTCAAGAATATACGTCATATAAAGATTGTTGAATTATCGAGAGAAGGGTATTGCGTCATGGTATAGCCAAACGCACAATCAATACTTTATGGTGATTGATGGTATTGGAATAGATATTGCTTTTGTACCATCTTTGCAAGCGCACAGAACGGTTTCGTCACCAACACATTTCTTTTGAATAATATACAATAAAACTTAAGAAATTCATGATATTGATATAAAGCAATAAATCTATTTCCCACATTTCGCAGCTGAACTTTCACATTATATGTGACACTTTTTCATTTGCCCCCACAATCTTGTAGACACACACACACACACACATATATATATATATATATATATATATATATATATATATCCTAATTCTAAGACTTTCCATATTTAAACTAATGACTTCTATCGTAGCTTGTAAAATATTAAATGATATGACGTAAAGGAAGGGAATAATAATAGTCATGACCCAATCCAACCCGAACATTGATATTATCATGCAAATATTGAATTATGCGCTCTCGGAGAGGTGATGAAATAATAACTCAGATTTAATCCCATTTTTTGTACATTTTAAATGACTGCTACTTACTTAAAGAACCATAAACATTTGTCAATTTTTGTCTGTAATCAATTTGTTATCACTAATTACATTTCAATATGTTTTGTCATCATGTCTTTGTTCGAAATTTTCATTCGCATAATACTCAAAAGTCATAGGATGGGCGTTAATGGATGTTTTCTCTTTCTATTTCATTCAACAGTGGGTAAAAGGACACAAACAGAATCAGCTGGAGAAGAAGTCTTTGATTTTAATGTGCCAGATGACTCGCAAAAGGTGAGTAGGGATTAAAAACACTTTCTATCAGCTTTGTAATAACCATACCATAACGCTCGATCTATTTATCCCCCATCTTGCTAAACAATTTGTATTTACACTGTTTATTCTACAGATGATAAACAAAATAGTTGTCTTAGTGAAAATTAATACATCATGTCAATTTTTTTCAAAGGTGGTGGCAACACATTTAAAGAAATGGAAATACTAAAAGTAAGCGATACGTTTCCTCGTAGCCATCACTGGGTTGGTAAAACCTATTTGCAGGTTCATGAATCACATTTCTGTATCTGACACGATAGTTTACCATAGATTTTTAAAAATGTCACTTGACCCTGTTATATTGTGTGTGGTTAAATTACTGTTTAACACCTTTCTGGTATAACCCTGGGCTCTGAGAACGAATAGATGACAGTTGCGAAACAAATAGGAGGAAAAACGTAAGAGAATCAACTTCATTATTGCATGACATTTGGCAAAAATATCTCATATGACTGAAACACGATAAGGTGATAAAAATGCTGCTTGTATGTTTATTTGATCGAGATATATTTCATGTTGGTGTCTGCTTTGCCGAGAGCTTGAAGAGGTCCTTATCGACTTGGTAAATGCAATCATGCTTGTGTGTGAATGGATGACTAGAGTACGTGAACTGAAATGAATAATTTGCTTCTACCCAGGGGTGGCGATACCGGGGGAAAGGGGGGGGGGGACACGTCCCCCTCAATGTTTTAGGGGGGATTGTCCCCCCGGAAAATTTGAAAAAGTGCCCCCCCCCCAAAAGTGTTAACCAAATATTGACAAAAGAATGCAACACACTTTTAGGCTCTGGAGGGCCCATGAGTGCAGCGTTTAGACTAATAAAAATGCAAAAATCTTCTCACTCGGTCGCTACGCTCCCTCGCATAACACCCTTCAAAATATAAAAGTAAATATTGTGGAAAATCTCCCGTTTCTTCCCTACCCCCTCCCCCACGGTCATGAAAAGACATCGCCGAACTTGTCTCTACCACCGCTATGAACATAATCAAACATTAGAAAGAGGTGTGGCAATCTCATACGATCCCTACTCATGGATAATAAAAACCGGTGAATTCGTAGGTTCCGTTTCCAATCATTAGCATCTCTCTGCGCTGATTGGTTCTATAAGCTTCTATGTTTTGGGAAGTTGGTCCCCCCCCCCCATCTCAGTCATTCGAAACGAATGATTCGCCTCTACCACCCCTATGTACATTATCGAACATTATAAAGAGGTGTGGCATTAATCTCATACAATCCCTACTCATGGAAAATAAAACCGGTGAATTCGTAGGATTTGTTTCCAATCATTAGCATCTCCCTGCGCTGATTGGTTCTGTAAGCTTCTATGTTTTGGGAAGTTGGTCCCCCCCCCCCCCCCCCCATCTCAGTCATCCGAGACGGTGGTGATACCAATGCCAACCCGGTGACATGCATCCAATCTTTGATTACATCCCTCAATGATGCCCGCCAAGTCAAACATATAACGTTTCTTTCTCAAGGCTAAACGTCTTCTAGTGTTTGCCTCCCCAGCCCGCCAACTCCTTAGACCTTAGCTATGCTCTGGGTACAGAAAGAAAAAGAGGTTGAGTGTGTCAGCGTGGCAGGGTTATATTATCATTCTTTAATTCGATGGATTCTGACAGAGCCGACAATCGTTTCGAAGCAGGTAGGAAACAGGTGATGGTAGACGAGACAAAAGTCCTCAAGGTTGCTTTAAAAAGAAACTCAATCAGTAATACAGCTTGCCATGTTTGTTAAACGAATGTGTCTTTCATGTGCTACCTGAGCGTGCCGAGGAGAGGAAACGAAGGCGAGCGAAGAAGCACTCCGAGAAGAAAGCAAGCCTTCAAGGAAATGCCGTTCAAGCATATAAGCTGCCTCTTAAGTGAGGTAGCGCTGTCTTCTCATTACTTGCAACCACTCTTGAAAGGAATTGACAGAGTGGCAATGAGCTCAATGTAATGATTTCGTAAAGAATGTGTACATTCTAACAGGTTCAAAGGATGCGGAATCAATCATTCGATACCTATACTCTATTAAACCTCGCGACGGGAGTTCCATTCATATTTATATTTGTCACCTCTGTGTTAGATTGAATACGGAGAATGTGATGGCCTTAACATATGAAATCATAATAAGGATATCAATAATCCATGTGACATTTTGACAAACAATAACATCACGAACAGGAGAATTATCGAAGCGCCAGGAGTGTCAAGTCTGACATATATGAGTGCTATACAAGAATCCACTATTATTATTATTATAATTATCCGTCTTGCGATAACATGCAGTTTGATTAAAAAAATAAAGCGTCAATTAGTATTATTATTCTACGCATGGTCTTTTGCCACGACTAATACAAAGATATTTCGAAAAGGATCTAGACTATTTTAATTTGCTCCACACTTTTTTGAAATAAAGATTATAATCTTGTCAATTTGAATAAAACACATTCATTAAAGTGTTAATTTAACAAAGACAACAAAGTAATACAAGTGTTTATTATGTGCGTTGAAATATCCCTAAATATTTAACAATTGGAAAAATTAAAGGAATATCCAACGCTCAGTATGAAAATTAATTTACATAGTTGAAACTTTCATACTGAAAATTAAATGTTACAAAACTTACATAAAGACAACATGTCTAATTCCTTCTTGCGTAGTATTTTATTGTTTATCCTACCATTCATTTAACTCTTCCGTCGTAATTAGGGGAATATCTCATCGAATAAAGAGTAAAGTAGGATTTCGAGCACTTTGTGCTACCCTTAAAAAAATAGGATACCAAGTGCGATTCTTACCTCACCCGGGTTAATCAATAGAGGAGTATTTTGATCGTCACTCTTGCCGGCTGGGTTGGTCGATGCGCAACGATTCACTTACAGCACACCTGCGGCTTTTACCGATGAGCTAAGGTGTACAGTATCGTGACGAAAAAGAAAACAAAACCATCAGGTGGGGTAGAACCTCTAGCACTCGAGGCCAGTGAACTGGTCACATTGAAGGTAAACTTGCCTTCTGGGAGGCCGCGGGTAATTTGTATTTTGAGAGGTAGTAGAAATCATTCCGAACAATTCAGTGAATGAACTACGTTGGCAAGTAGCAAAGAATAGAATATACGAACATCGCTCTGAATAGCACAGAACTAAGATACACCCTTGTGGAACTACACGTTTTACTCATAGGCATTATGATCTTGATTGCTTTTTGTTTAATAATCTGTCTTTGCTCAGAACTCAGCTCGTAAATACTTTTGATAGATATCTTTTATTCACAACGATTTATAGCCCTTAAAACATCAATGGACACTGTGCAAGGCTGTGCAGGACTCATTCTCTTCTGACAATTCAAGAACTCTCGATGTCTCTTCAAAGCTCTAGATTTCGTATTCGCTGGCAACGTTTTCAACCAAAACAAGGCATAATTATTTTCTTTCAATCAAATTTCCTTTCAGTATTTGAGATGGAGTGACAAGAGACTGCCCAATAAGACATGCATAATTTGCTTGCAAATACCATTGCTAGATTTGTAAGCTACCGATCCACGATCTTTCTTTGATTCTGCTTGCATGGAGAGGCCATATGCCTACTAATAATATGAATGCATATATGTATGGCATTTCAATCATTCCATGGATCCAAGCTCAAGGACAAATGGAGTTACTTATGAATTCATTGCATCTACCGCTCTCAGATAAAGCGAATGCATTTTGGTAGCTAAAAGTCTTTTCATTGAATACTTTTATATCCATCTTTCTTACGTTGCTTTTATTAGCCAAAAGTGTCTTTTCATTGCAAATCCTTTAAAAATATTTGTTAGTTACTCTTTCACAATAAATCACGCAAGGAATTTAGTGATAAAAATTGACTCATGTTGATTTTTACTCAAGCATATTTCGGAATATTGCAACATGCATAAGTTGTAAATCTCCATAACTTTATTTTTGTGACGGGCTGTCATTCTGGGAAAAACTCGACTGGATTATAACGGTACATTGAGCTGAAAATATCCTTGCGTTTATTAATAAAGTCGATTCAAAGAGGAATAGGGGAAAAGTCAAATTTACCCATCTCCACTGCACTTCACACTTGAAGTGGTGTGGAGCAAACCGGATAACCGTTAAATCACAATTTATCAACTCAAGGGGACAACAAATCCCGTGTACTTGGAGGAATCCTATATGAAACCTACTTCGACTATGTCACGATATACGCATTATCACTTCTTTTATTGCTTACAGAGTCTGCCAATTTCTAGCGAAAAGAAAGGCTTAATTAATAGAAGATTAATCATACACCAGGTAAAGAAAATAGTCTCCGCTTCGTCCAAAGTCCCTTTCGAATATCCGTGTTAGTTGGTATCGCCTGAGTACCTTGGAGTGCTCATAACGATATAACTCACGAACGATTACGTAAAACTGTGTTTCCATTTATAAAATAATTTATATTAATGTATGCCACACGAGAAAAATATATTTTTGGAACACAACACTTAACAGAAATTGCATTTCACCAGCATACCCTTCACCTCATGATGAATGACTATTACTTATTATGAATATCTCGGACGTTCAATATAAGTTGCATCTGCTATTAATATAACTGCGCTACATAAACTACTTTGATTTGCACCATCAACGTTATTTTTCCATTCTAAACAGACAATTTAGGGCCTACTTTGGAATGTATATTCAGGAATGGCATGTCAGTATTACTTCATTGTTTAAATGGTTGAAATCATCATCAATACAAGTGTAAAGGATCATATCAATCAAACGAATAGTGTATTTCCCCCATTAGTAATGTGGTGTCGCTGTGGAGTCATTATGTACCTGCGGTAGTTCTGAAATATATATTTTGTCTACCTTTCCTTGCGTGAGGAGTGTTATTTAATCATTCTGCGGCGAGTACAGAGTATACTTTTATAAACCACACTTTCAATAGACCTCACTGTGCACACTGATACGTATGTCATATTGTGACAAAAGAATTGATACAAGATATCACTTTTTAAACAATAAGACAATTACAAATGATGTCTTACATAAAAATTGGTTGTTTACAATAAATAACTCCACAAAATAATAATAATAATACATGAGATTTAAAAGGCGCCAAATCCACTTGACAGTCAAATGCTCAAGGCGCAGAAAAAGAATAGAAAATGAATCCATGTAAAGCAATATACTTCTTGCCAATGCACAATCCCCGTCTTCTGTAACTCACACGTATACGTTTACATAAAACATCTTTGGAGGTCAACGCAAATTTTACGCATCAATAATATCAAAGCTCGCTGATGTCGCTTGCAAACATGATAAATGTCTTGCGTGGTTTCCACCTCGCTGAACATTCTAACACGTATTTCTCTCCTCGCCACTTTAGTGAAAAGATTTTTCTCCTTAATTAGCCCTCAGAGATTGTAAAAAGCAAGACAGTCCACTGCTTTAACGTTCTCCTTGTCAAATTTCTTTTCTCGATAGAACTAATTGCGTACGTGAATGGGTGTGCAAAGTGTGCGTGCCCTTGTAAGCGTGTGTTTGTGTGTGATTTATACTATAAGAGAGAGGGTGAATCAAACCTGTCCGAAATACCGCCTCTCTATCAACAATTAAGAATTGTAAAACCTGTTTAGAAAGGTCACTAGTCTACAGTGGCCACTTTCTCTTTTTTCTGTCGATGGCCTCTATAGACAGGTTTATCTGTATAGTCATACGCCATAACGTATAAAGTAACGATTGTACCAATACAGCTTGATTTGGGAGTTCTTGTCATTTTCTCTTGGTACGTTTTCGAAAAATAATGTAACCAAATAATAAGTTTTCCTTTGTTATCGTATGAGGTTAATTAAACAAAGATCACAATCAATAAAGTATTTTCCAATTTTTTCGCAAATAAGCAATGATGTTAAGCTTGTACAGTGAAATTGAATTGACGCATTCGCCTGCGATGTTCTTTATTGTACAGGTTTCCATGCATGAATGTAGAGAGGGAGGGGAAAAAAATCATTAAATCAATAAGTATGATTGCACGGGTAAAACTTTTAACATCCGCCTTGGTGATCAAAATAGCTTTCATCGGTGTATTTGACTCTGATATGCGTTAGAGATGTAATATTAAATTTTTCATTTCACATTTTGACATATTATATTACTAAAGGAGTAGAAACTGTTAGATAGAAACAATTGGGTACATTTCACGTAACCACATACGTTGTACTTTGGTCACTTCTGTGACTGTCAAGGAACAATGTAAGATGACATTTCAAGTGTATCGCTAATTGAATAAAAAATTATATAACCCAGGGCAAAATAAGTGTACATTATTGAGGTCTAGGCATATTTTCAAATGTACTGTTACTTGCGATGTGGCACTTGCATTGAATTAATAGCATTAATTGTCTACACCGGGTTATTAACGATGCAATCGGCATGATGAAACGGGCATTACAGTTACCATACATTTCAACCTAACGCTATGCTCAATATAATAATGTCAAGAAAGGAGTTAGTCAATTAAGCACTTTAGTCACATGCTATTCCAGTGATATTTTGTTTCTTTGATTTAATCCTCATACAAAATACTTGTTCAATACAATATCGGAAGGTTTGTTGGCATAGTAATTGGCAATTTACAAATACGCCATTTGTATTTAAATGTTCTAATGATGAAAATGAAATAATTTACGGTTGGTACTGGCAATCAAATATATCTTTATGTATGATTTCTTGCTCTTTTATGCAGACTGAGACGAGTGCGTTTGATTTTGCAAAATCGACAACATGTCGGTTGGATTCTCTCTTCATGCAACTGACACCCGAATGGCAACAGATGATTATGAAGGTAAACAGGTCAATAGTTTTTAATATATTCCACATACTAATAATCTTTCTCTACGATTGGTCAAAAGTATTCACGTGATGAAAGATAGTTCGCCCATCATTGATGGGAGAAGAAAAGTTCGTTACACTGTGTAGATAGTACTACTATTTTCAGTGAAAGTGCGTTGCACTGTGTAGATAGTAGTACTATCTACACAGTGCAACGCACTTTAGTTGTATACGTTGCATATACGTACGTACGTAAGTATCGTACACCGTTTTCTACCTGTTAAATGATGACTTGTTACTCTAAAATGACGGAATAATATTTTGAAGAAGGGAAATATTGTTGAATTGTTTTCCTTTACTACTGTATAAGCTTAATGAAATTAGAATTCCATGGAGAAAGTTGGTGAACATGTTCATGGATACCTCGCACAGAGTGTTCATCTTCAAGACCATGAATATGGGCAAATATTGATTAGTAATATAAAAAATAAACATATATTTTCGAAAATACCTTGCTCAGACATTCAAGGTCATGCACAATAATTAACAGCATTGTCTTGTAAATTATGTGCAAATTTGCATTTGGTCCACTTGACAAAATACAGAATTGTGGTTATTTGAAATTGGCTATGTTTGACCGGTTTAATACTTTTAGTTTCCATCTTTCAGAAAGTATACCTCACGATGCATGTTTAACTTAAACTAAATTGTAGAGATATATAAGAGTTTTATAAATCAAATAATATAGGTAAACCTGGTGAGTGAGAAGCCATTTAAATACAGATTGTTTTAATGTGCTTTTGATATATAGAAGCACTTAATAAATGCAAAAATAATTACAATATATTGACAAAATTGATACTATCCCCGGCAAATGGATACGTCAAGCATTCTGAACCCAGGTGAGAACTAGGTTAATATGGTCAAAACAAAAACATGGATATTGTGCTTTCATTAACATAGCATTTCATAAAACCGTGACAACTTCGGCTTAGGTTGAGTAATGAAATGTTGAATTGAACCGTGAATGCAAACTACGCCTGTTCCACAAGTAAAAGACAAAGCAACATATGCTGTGACGTATTACACGTGATTATTGACCTTTTCACGAGATTTCGACGCTTCCAGCGTTATACAATAATGTGCTCTTCTTAGAACAGGAAATCGAACTGATAAGAAACGTGACACACTTAGTATCCCGATTTATAGGAATAAACTCACTAAACATTGGATTTTCGAATTCGGGAAACTCAATTTCTATTTATGCTTCTCGTCCGTATTATGAGCATGCATCATTACAAATTCAATGGTCATCTTTTTTCCTTCTATCGTTCTAAAGAAAGTGAATCCACGCGCATGATCAGGATATGATTATAATTATTATAGTTTTGTTGACCGGTTTTCTTTATTTTGCTCCAGTCTTCTCCGGAATACAAAATAGCTATATATCACAAAAATCTGTCCTTATAAATTTTGATTCTACCCATCATCCGACGGAACCCAATACCTCCTTTACTTTTCGGATATTTATTTTGTATTTATTTATTCGTACGGGGTAGCCCATTCAACATCAGTTGGTCTCCCATGGGGCCCCTAAAAACAAACATACATGAATGCAACACAATATGTTCAAATAAAATCATTCAAAGTACATACACAATAATGCCAAGTAAATAGTTTAAAAAGAGAATGTAAAAACATTGAAATATATCAAGGTGAATGTTTGCAATATAGAATAATCAAATATTTAAAGTACAATACCGAGTAACAGAAAATAAAGATATTTAAACAAATATGAAATAGACTATTGGTGAGTAACTAGGTGCCATAGAATCCCTTATACGTCCAATGACTTGAGATATTGTTTAAGATTAAATTTGAAAGGTACCAAAGAGGGCAACTCCCGTATAATAACCGGCAAATTATTCCACAAATTTGGACATAGATAATATAAAGAGTGTTTGCAGTACTCAGTGCGGCATTTGGGAACGACAAGATCGTGTCTGGCGGCTTGCCTCGTATTTATATCATGTTTTCTACTTAACTCTTGGAAATAATTTGAGTAGTAATCAGGAGAAAGGCCTTGACAGCATTTATAAACAAATATATAACGGAAATAAGTTATTCGATATCTGAAAGGTATCCAGTTCAGACTTGAGAACATTTCCTTAGTTGGGCTATAAATATTACACCTAAGGATCAGACGGGCTGCCCTCTTTTGTAGTTTAGTAATTCGATCTACATGTATATTAAAACGATCTCCCCATACCCCACAGCAGTAATCCATCTGTGATTGAATGAGGCATGTATATAATAATTTTAGAGTATCATTTTCTACAAAAGGTCGAATTCTTTTTAACATCGCAAGAGCGGCAAATATTTTTTTACTTACAGAATCAACTTGTTCATGCCATAATAAATGTTTATCTATTAATATCCCGAGACATTTAAAACTTGCACATATTAACGTACTACTACTACAACTACTACTACTACTACTTCTACTATTACTACTACTCCTTCTACTACTACTCCTTCTTCTACTACAACTAATAATAATAACACTACTCATATCATTAATGGTGGCTTCTTAAAGAGCGCACATGTCCGTCACGCACGTTTGGATAATAAATTGTAATTTCTTCTATCAATGACGCCCTTGAAGGGAGCCCTGGAACAATTGGGGGCACCGGTCTTACATGGAAAATGAATGTGGTTACTGATAAGGGGAGATGCAGGAGGTTGTCCAGGCGTCTTTGTTTCTCTTTCTTTTCCCTCTCCCTTCCCTCGCTTTCTCTTTATTTGTATTTTTCCACAAACTGTTCTAGGGGAAGTGCCCCTGCCCCCGTAGCTACGCCACTGTCGTTTATTGCCTACCGGCATAGGAAAATAACCCAATTGGAATGATTTAGAGGGTTTTGCTTGCGGACTCGTGGTCATGCGCGTCTAATGGCTGCCATGTCACATCGCAAATAGAATTGACAGAATCATGACCCGACCAAAAATTGGTCCAATAAATATCGGCAGGTGAATTATGTACGCCAGGGTGGGATCCATTTGTTAGTTATGCCCCTTTGATCGGAGATCCATCTGAAAGAAATTGTGGAAGATTACACGGTTTCCATCAATCAAAAATGAGGGGCTCGATGAGTATGAAAGGTGTTTACGTTTTCAGACATCGCTCTGAAGAGACAATGGTATGGACGCGATGAATGGTAAGAAATGGTCAAGCTAATATTGATGCACAATGCTCGCAATATTGAAGAGAAGAGACAAAAAAGTAACGCCTATTTTGATGAGTCTATGGGAATATCAAACGTTAGATTCAGATGTATTCGATCCTTGATTTAAATGCAATCTTGAGAAGTGTTGAAAAGAATCCCGTCTGAATAGAGTATCATGCTACGGAATTGAGATGTTCTGAATTCCCTTGCCCGTCGTGTTTACTTCGGTTAATTCTTTCAAACATTCTACTACATTAAGCATCGAAGCTCTATGCCATGCACACCCTCGCCCACTCTCTCACACCCACCCCCACATAAAACACATCCGTATACAGAAACACACGTAACAAAGGTCAACTTCAGTCAAGTCTCCATAGGCTTCTAATGATGGCCCTTTTATTCTTCTTATTTTATATGAATTCATTTAATGTACGTTGTATTTTACCTTCAAAAGCTTTGTATATATTTTAATGTTTTGCATGTTTTCAAACTGAAGAACGAATAGAGAATGAGCTTATTGCTAAAAACAAAGAAATATATACGAAAATATAGTAAAGAAGAAGGCTCCAAAGAATCCAAGAGACCGAGGCCTAATGAGACCGAGAAAATAAAGACAATACAAAATAAAAGATACAAAAGTGTTGGTTTTGTGGGCTATCCGTAACGTCGGCCGGAGGTCTAGTAAACCTTCTGAATGAAAACAGAAAATAATGTATTTTTATATTTCATATTTGTTCGTGGGTTTATCAAGGTCTCTTCAAAGTTAAATACATAATTGTTAGTACTGATTAACTGATTAATATCTTAATGAATGGTGTTGAGGGCAAATTATTTTTCTGTTTAAGTATAATGAAATCATATATCAATTTATCATTGATGGAAAACATTATTAATCATCATTGATAGAAAACATTCATTGATTAATCGACGGACATACTAATACATGTGCGTATAGTTAACGAAAGAGAATTGTATCATCTATAATTAACATTATTCGAAATAGTCTTTTCAGAGACGAATTCACAGAACCTTTACTGTACTGGAGCTACTTAACAGGATAAAGAGGCAATATAATTTGCCATGTTTCATTTTGTGAATGATTTATTAGACTCTTTTCTTCTTAAATTGAACATGGCGTCAACGAGATGCGAGGATTGCGATATATATGTAATACATTATCAGATATAAAGAATGTGATGTCTGTGTATTTTTTTTCTTCTAAAAATGAATGATGAATCTTTTATGAGGGAGCATTCTTTTATCCATGGTCAATCAAGTAAATTGATCTTTAACAATGGCAGTAACAGAAAGGTCGAGTAGATGCCTCATTTGCCTTTCACAAAAGCTTTAAACCTTCATGATTTATGTGTGGATCTCGTGAACTCAGAAAGTACGTCATGTTAAATCATGCAACGATAGAAACGGCACCCCCTTAGTTTTCATATTTATTACCAGATTTGCGTAACTCTGTTTCCACATTCCCTTTAATTGTGAGCTGTGAGTACTTTCACATTTCCAAGGCATTATTATTATTCTGTCGGTTACCTAGGAAACGCCCACAAATCGAGAAATGAATAGGTTTTAGATTCAAAGAACCACTATGTGAACTGTAGCGAACGCATTAAAATTATGGTAATTGTGATAATGGTTTGAGATCAGCCATATAACGGGAATATCAAAGTCTCCACACACAGCAGATATTATATATCTTATTTAAAGCATACTAGATTCACTGCTAATTTTCTGCGACGTATTTATAAATAGATGGTATCTCTTTTCAGTCTATTTT